TACTTTAGCACCCCCGGCAGAAAGTGGTTCTCGAACAGGCGACACAAAATTTCCATCCCATATAGCACGTAGAAAGTATTGCTGTTCTTGACTCTTTTCAATATAAGATTGTCCCTGTTGAATAAACGGATCACCACCGGCACCGTCATCATCACCAGTAGTAGAATTACTAGAGCTGCGTCTTGATTTACTAGGCGCAATACCCATTTCATAAGTTAACAAGATAAATCCTTCAATATATCCAGAATTTAGGGATAGCGACAATAATGGTAATAATAAATCAATAAAATCGATCTTGACCAAAAAGATCTGCGATTGGCCTAGTTTTTCGTAAAATATCAATACCGATACAGTGATATTCCAGAACAAATAAACCACGGTAATGATTGTTTATATTGTTTATAGTGCATATGCTGTGCCCAGAAATGCACCATTGTTTTGTAACAGAAATTAATGGTTCACCAATTGTTACATTCTTTCGAGAAAAAAAAAGCATATGTGTAACCCTTTTCGCAGTAAAATTAACATCTAATTTGATCGAGGAGTTTCATTGAAGCTTAATACATGTAGTTTTGTATTTTATGCATTATTTTATTGTGCAACATAAATTTTAATTTCTGTTGTGTAATCCTGGAGTCCCATAAAAAATACATGTACATTAAATAACGATTAGGTTCACGGGAAGTAAATGTGTATGCAGAATGGAATTTGTAATCACTTGTTGTTCATTTGCGGACACATGTGAACTCACCTTTCAATATTAGATTTAGATGAAATATATATTCAAAAAAATTTAATAATATTCAGAAAAACATCAGTAATAAAAATCAGATTCGTTCAATACAAACTAAATGAATTTCGATCAATATAATCCCTTATTTATCTTTTCTCTGTTTGGCCCTCCTTCACAGCCAGAAACATTCAGAAGTAGTAAAGTGTATCAATTGAAAATTCTCTTACTTAGATATAAAAATTTCGTTTTAGATTTGATTGATTTCAATATCTCCAAATCATTAAATTTAATTAACAGGCAACTTTTCATAAAATTTTGTAAAAATTCTATTCTAAAAACTTGCATCAGTATTGGATGTCTAAATGTGCAATCTTACATTTATTATTACTAGTTCTTCTTTAAGCTTTTAAATTTTATTCTTTACTTTATTCTGTACCTTTACTTTTACTTGCAAAATAATTTACATTCCAACAATGATGTTCTGAATAATGGTCATAAGAACAAATTTTCCGCGTTAATTGAGCTTCAAGAAAGAAAAGATTTCTAACAAACTTTCGCTAATGTGATGTAACACTTTAATAAAAGTAGTTATAATTACTTCATACCACAAAGATTACATGAATTATCATGAGTAGATTTTGTCCGTTTACTTACATAAATTTCAATAACATCAAACTATATTTAAAATAAGTTTTTTATTATTTTTGAAAATTAATTACAAGGTATATGACGAAGGATTGGCATTATGATGAAGTCACATTATCTCAAAAGATATCATGTTGAGGTATTCGATTGTCTAATATATAGTCCCATATTAAATATAATTATACCAATTTTTTTGTGAAGATTGATTTAATAATGATCACTTTTTTATTTTAAATACAATGGTCTGTTATAATAATCAACTGAATGATGTAAATTAAAAATATCTTAGTTGCTTCTTCTTTTCCAAACTTTATCGAATTACATACATTTTCTTTTAAAATATCCTGTGATTGTTTTTGATATTTTATATAATATTCTCTTCATCTATGTAGTTAAACCTTTCTAAGAATGCTTGCCAAAATTATTTTGAAAAATACTAAAATGCCAAAATTTAGAAATTATTTCTGATTATACATTAATAATTAATTAATATTTTAATATTTGATAAATCTTTCATATTATCAAAATTCAAAAAGATCTATAATAAAGCTGTCATTATAATTAATTATTATAATTAATTGTGACTTGCAATAGCCAATTAGCAAATTGTAATTCAATTGTGATAGTCATTTAGAGAATTGCAAATAAGACTTGATCTCTAATTTTGAATTCTTGATGATAATAATATTAATATTACTTTAATAATTCTAAGCTTTTAGTAGTAAGTCTTTTGTATTTTTATTCTAATATTAAATAAAGTTATCAATAGTAATTGCTTTATTCTTTATTATAAGTATTATCAATATGAAAGAATATTATTTATAATTTAGTTCAAATAATATATATTTTGATAAAATTAATTATAATCTCATCTTTAATTTATAGTAATAAAGATATATTATATATAATAGTTAATTAATATTCAGTTTTAATATTATATTATCTAATAAATTTATGAATTTTAGCAAGTATTCTTAAGTTTTTCTTAGATTTCTAATTGAAATATTAAATCAGACTTGAGCTTAGATTTAAAATAAATTTAAAAAATTAAATCAAACTTTTTTTAATTTAAGTTCAGTTCAAGTTCAAGTCTAATTCAAGTTGAATTAAAATTACTTAAGTATTTATAAAATTATAATATGAATTCTGAATTATAATTTTATATAAGATATATAATAAAAATTAATATTAAAATATTTGATATTTAAAATTAATATTTTAATTAAAATATTAAATATAAACTTTTTATCAGATTTGAATCAGATTTAAAATTTGAATTAAACTCAAATTAGATCTGAATTTAAATTTAAATAGATTTAAAAAATTAAATTAGACTTGAATTAAACTTTTTAAATTTGAATTTGAATTTCAATCTGATTTAATTTAAATTAAATAATTTCTAGATTATAATTTTAATTAAGTTATATTATTAATAAAAAATTAATAATTATTAAAATATTTAATATTTAAAATAATTTATTTTTATTTAAAAATAAAATATTTTAGTTTTTTAATAATATAATTTTTTTAGTAAGAATTATATAAATAATTATAAGCAAACTTATAATTTTTATTTTAAGTTATAAACTTTATTAAAATGATTTATATTAAAATATTATTATTTATAAAAATATATTTTATTTAAGATAATAAATTATATTTAATAAATTTTTGAATAATAAATCTATTTTATATTTATAAATAAAATTATAATTCTTATTTAAAACTATAATTTTTATTATACTTGAAATTAATTTAAAATTAAATTTAATTAAATTTAAATTTCAAATTCAAGTTTAGTTTTAATTTAAATTTAAAATTTAAATTTTTTTTCAAATTTAAATACTAAACTCTATTTTTTTAAATCTTAAAATTTCAGATTTTATTTATTATAAAATAAACTTTAAATTAATACTAAAATTAAAACTTTAAATTAATATTAAAATTTTAATCTTTTATTAAAATTCAATGAAAATTATTATTATATTTGAATAAATATTATTTTTTCAGAATCTTATTTTTTTTAAATTCTAATTTTAGAAATTATATTTTAAAATATTATTTTTTTAAGATATAATATTATTAATATATATATATAGAAATTAAATTAATAAGAATTATATTAAATAAAAAAATATTCTAAATAATAAAATAAAATTTATATTTATATAATTAATATATAATTAGTATTATTTTTTCTTTCTTAATTTTTTAATTTGTAATTAAATAGAAAAAAATTAAATAAAATTAAAAAAAATAAAAATTAAATATATTTTAAATTATAATAAATTTATTTCTTACTGATTATATATTTTATAAAAATAAAATAATACTTTTTATTAATATACAGTTAAATATAAAAGTAATAGTAATATATTTTTTATCTATAATTTAATAAGAAATTGCTAAAAATTTATGAAAATTTGACATTATATTTTTTAGACTGATAGAAATAATATTTTTTAAGATCACAAAGTGTATTAATATAGTAATATTTTGTGGAATCATATACTAAAGATAACAGGCTGAGGGCTATCCTGATTAAAAGTTATAAAAAATTATTTAAAAATATTTTTTATAAGCAAATATAAAAATAATTTTATAAAAATATATTTAAAGATATAA